AAAGTATCAACAGCCAAGACCGACACAGCCCCTGCCTTCATGGACTTTTGAATCCAATGTAAATGTTAAACAATTGCGTATTTTTCATTATTTTCCATTCTGATTGCATGTGGGGAGCGGAGAGCGGGGCAGTTAAAGTGTATACCTGGGAGACTTGGTCTAGTCTGGAGTCCAGGTGAGGCCTTATCACAGAAGGATGTTGAGTTGTGCTCCAGAGGATGAACGGAAATTGAATAGGGGAGGGGGCGAAGGAAAGGGATTCCAGGATTGGAACGGCGTTTGTGGAGAGATGAACAGGGAAGAAGAAGACATATTTGAGGAGTGGAAGGGAAGACAGTGGCTGCAGGTGCGAGAGAGGGTGAACAGGTCGGCAGGACCAGGTGTGCAGCCTTGAAGGTCACGGGGACTCGGTCCCTTCCTTAAGTGCAGTGGGAAATATTTCAATCAGGAAAATAACCTCATTTATTTGCACTTAAAAAACCATTATTAGCTGCTGTGCCCATACTCTACTTGCCAGAACAGTGACTGGGCACTTGGCCAGCACGCAGTAGACCTTCATGCTGCCATTCCAAAAACGCCTATGTTCTTTACCTATTTTTGCCACTCTATGTAAGTAAAATTTTATGTAGTAAATTTATTTAAAAGAGCTTAAAGCTATTATAGAACTTTTTAATGTTTTACCATTAGCCTAGGAAAAATGCTGAAGGTAAAAGCAATTCATCAAAAGAAAGTAAAATGTCAAAATATTGTCCCTTTTCTCAAAAAATATCCCAATATATCTAGATAGATCCAGGATACCTATAACAGGCTCAAAAAAGAAAAAAAGGGAGAAATGAGGTACAAATAGCTAAGCATTAAACAGTTTGTTTTTTTGAAAGATACATTTCCTTGAAGCTACCGCAGATTCCCCTGCGGGAGACACAGGACCATGAACTTGTGCTTTAAACTGAGGTCAGTATGCGGTGTGTTGCTCCCTGGGAAGTATATGGAAACTTAACGCCCGAGCACTGATGGGTTAAGGGAGACCGGGTGGACTGCCCTGCAGTCATGGCCTGCTACCCTCTGAGAGCTGCATTCAGAGAGCCTGGACTGAACCTGCCAGAAAGCAAGCACGGCCCCTCCGAGCAGCACAGGTGCAGAATCAGGACACCAGAGTTCAAGTCCAGCTCTGTCACTAACGAGGCTGTCTCGGAGAGCTCCACTGGGCTTTCTGAGCCTGCGTTTCTTCTGTAAATTGGAGCCTGTGCTTCCTGCCTTGTGCGATGCAACAAGATAATAAATGTGGAAGTGGAAGCTTCCCCCCGCCCCCCCCCAAATGGAGGAAAACAGTACAGCATGGCGGCGACCTTCATAAGAGTTTAAGTTTATTTTGTTAGGGCAGGAGTTCTGTCGTGTTCGGATCTTTTTGGCAAGAATAATCCATAGATACGGTTAAAAGTGCACAGTGGCACACACACTACATGAGGGTTGTTGGGTGTGTTGCTTTCATGGGGTCTCTGCTGGGCACTGGCTGAATGTCGTCTTTGGCACAGGGCTGCCCCATGTGGAGGGGCCTGTTTCGCCTGCAGATACCTCTCCTGCCTCATCTGTCCCCCTAACGCCCTCCAACTTGATGGAGTCTGCAGCTCGTTGGAGGTCTGTTGATTTGCCAATCCTGGTTGTATCATAAAATGTTTTATTCGCTCTGTCTGTGCCTCAGAAGGTTCATTTCTTCCCTTGGAAGTCACTTTCTACAAGGCAGAGATCAGGGAGCCCACTGGGTTCCCATGGCACACCAGCAATATCGCAGGACCCCAGTGGGAACTTGCTAAAGAAAACGAAATTGCAGCCCCTGGAGGTATTAGAGATTCCAGAGATGGCTGGAATTCTTCCAGATTTTGGAACCGATTTTAAAAATCAAGAATGCAAATCTGAGCTCACGCAATGCTCGGGCGCTGAGTAAAGAGACAAAGAGGGAATCCAATATACATCTTAAAGGAATGTTTAAGTTCTAGAAATGATTTTATGAGACATACCTCCAGTACTTATACCTCCAGCGTAGTTTCTCTTTCAGGGGGTCCAAAAAGCAAACCACGTGCTGGAGCAGGTGGGAAAAGTATTCTGGAAAACACCGCTGGCCACACTGAAATGAATCGTAACGCATTTCTCCCGTTTTGCTTTTTCCTGCCCAGATTCTTTTGTCGGTGGAGTCATTGGCCTCATTTTCGCATACATTTGCTACAGACAGCACTACCCGCCTCTCGCCAACACAGCTTGTCACAAACCGTACGTCAGTCTCCGAGTCCCGACCTCGCTGAAGAAAGACGAGAGGCCCACAGCGGACAGCGTGCCCGGCGTGCCTCTGGAGGGCATCACGGAAGGCCCCGTATGACAAGTCTCTCGGGAGGATGAATGTGAGCCCAGGGCACACTCTTCCACCCCGACGTTGTAACACTATAGAAGAAGTTTTCCGTAGTGTGTTTCTCATCATCTGTTTCTCAAAGTTATCCTTCTGCTTCCGTTTTGCCGATGGTGTTCCTGCTACTTTAAATGCCCACTTTCAACTTTCTTGAATTTGCGGAGGAAGGACACAGAGACCGTCCCCCAGAGACATGTGGAAGGAGGATGGGGTGGGTCCAGCTCGGTCGGTTCTTCTATCTGAAATGTTTGCTGTGACAGCCGCCTTTCTGTGTTCCCATGGTTGTACAACATAATAAAACCTCCCACCTGGAAGACGTGCTGTTGGCCGTCAGTGTGGGGAAGGTCATCTAGAGACACGCGGGTTCACGGCCAAGGCCTCTGAGAAGGCCGTGCTGCAGCCTGACACTCAGGTAGCCTGTGCGTCCTCCGCGGGGACCTGAGCACTTGGCATGGGAAGTGACTCAGCGTATCTGGACCAGGGCAGACAGGCATCGGGGTTCAAAGCCTCCCCCCGCGCAGTGGCTTCAGGTGAAGACAGAGCCTGCGTCTGATTCCAGGTTCAGCTGTGGATTGTGGTGGGACAGGGGCTGCTGTTCCCTCTCTCCCAGCCCTCAGGTTACTGCTCCCACGGGGGTGGGGTGGGTCCCTTGTCCATATGATTGCCAGTTGCTGGGTGGCACCCTGGAGCTCCTAAATCCGATTCTGGGAAAGGAGAGCCAGGAACCTGTGTTGCGAACATTCACCCACAGGTGATTCTCAGGCCCCTGTGGCCTGGAGCCCCTGCTCCCGCCCGTTTGTCCTCAAGGGACAGAATGGAAAGGAGACTATATTCTTTGGCTGTCCTCTGCCCTGGGCGGGAGAGGTCTCTGAAACGATGGTGCTTTATTTTCGGTTGCTCTTTCTCAGTCAGCGTGTTGTGTGCTGTGGGGCCACCAGCGACTCACCCACCTGCTGAAGCCCAAATCCTAGGCGTCACCCCGATGGTGTCTTCCTTATGATCCCCTTCGCCCAATCCCTCAGCAACTCATCTTGGTCCTGCCTTCAAAATACACTTCACGCTTACCTATTCCTCTCACTTCCGCTATTGCCACCGTAGTCCGAGTGGCCACCCTTTGTCACCTAAACTCCTGTGGTGCCTCCTATTGCCACATGCAGCTGCTCTCCCTAATCCATGTCCCACTCAGGCCAGAGGGCAGATGAGTGTTCCTTTATCATTCAGGCGTTATTTGCACAGAATTGACGTCACCTATTTAAAGCGCCTGGCTTTTCAAATTCGGATCATTGTATAGGGTGGTGCAGCCACCACCGCAGTCAAGACGCAGGCCTGGGTTCTCATCCTAGAAGTTTCCTTTTGTTCCTCAGAGCTCCCCTCCCCACTCCGGTCCTCCACTCCCTTCACACACACATAGTTTTCTCTCATATTTTCCTATTACGTTCCTTTATGTCGCAGTTATATTATTCATATATTCTTATGGGCTGAATCGCATCCCTCAAAATTCGTTATGTCGAAGTCCTAACCCTGATGGTCTCAGAATGTAACGTTATTTGGAGATGAGGCCTTTACAGAGGGGATCAGTAAAAACGAAGTCTTTGGGGTGGGCCCCAATCCAGTAGGGCTGGTGTCCCTGTGGGCGGGGCATACTGGAGACAGACACTCACAGAGGGAAGACCATGCGAAGGGCCCACTACGAGCCGAGCAGAGAGGCCTGGAACAGACTCTCCCTCACAGCCCTCCGAAGGGACCGACCTGCCGACACCTCGATCTTGGACTTCTAGCCCCAGACTATGTGACAGACGTTCCTGTTGTTAGTTTGTGGTGCTTTGTTACTACAGCCCTAGCAAACGAATATCATTTTTTCCCCTTTCTGTGCTCCCTAGAGTGTGGGTCTCCCGGGAGCAGGGATCCCTCTGTCCCATTCACAGTTCTATCCCCAAGGCTTGGCACAGACTCTGGTACAGTGGGGGTCCTGGATAGGTTCCTGAATTAATGAATGGGCACATCGTGTTATTTTTTCCCCCACTATTTCTAGAAGTTTGGCTCATCCACTTTAGGTTACCTGCTCAAGGTGACACATCCTAAAGCGAGAACGTTCCTGATTTCTGATCGTGTGGCATTCCAGTTACTCCATAGTTTCCTGGGCCTTCCTAAGTAATAAAATCTACTGCCCTTTCCCTTCTTATAGGAGATGGGATGCTCATTCTCCTGAAAGTATATCAGAAGGCTCAAAGTTACCTTGTTTGGGCTGTGGGGAGAGAAGCAAAAACTACGTTACCAACCAAACCCAGATACCTTGAAGGAGGTTATTTACATTCGACAAAACCAACCAACTTAACGAAAGTCGCCTCTTCTTAACCCTGGTATTGACCATCAAATGAATTTATAAAGCAAATGCCCCAATCTGTCCTCATGGGATATAGTTTATTTACAAAGGTCTTGCGAGAAGCTGTCTATTGCACACTTAAAGCTGTGGGCCTGCTGATTAAAATGTACCTACAGCCGGGAGGCATTTGCCAGAAAGGCCAAGACTTTTAACGGACACCCGAAGGGCTTTGGGGGCGCAAATTCAAAACACCAAGTCCACGTGGAGAAATGTCTGGGGAATGAGGGCGGGCAGCGGATAGCAAATACATTACTTCCTTAAGAGGCTGAGCCTTGAAGCAGGTTTGCAATAACATCACCCATTAAATGAAATGATTTTTTCCCCCAGGTGCCTAAGTGGTATAGCGACTGCTTTAATGAGAAATTAGTTAAGTTTGGGGAGCGATAGAACGTTTAATTTGCAGTTCAGCGCTGCTGTGCGCTGACTCTCGCAGTTCCTCTTAAGTGTTTCCTTTTCTGTCTCCGTGTCTTCCAGAGTGTCTTTTCTGGGTTTCTGTGTCTCTTTGTGTGTCTGTGACTCCTGAACTCATTTCTCCACTCGGCCAGAGTGTCACTGCTGCTTGGTGCGTCTGTCCCTCCGTGTGTGTCTGTCTCTCTCGTGTATTATCGGGGCACTTGTGCTGATGGGTCCGTGTGTGTCTGTCTCTCTCGTGTATTATCGGGGCGTTTGTGCTGATGGGTGCTGCATGATGAGTTTGGCAGGCTGCAGTGGAACTTCGGGCTCCCCTACGCCGAACACCTAGGCCGTTCGTGGAGAGCGAAACATCCCTTTAAATGTGTGAAAGCTGTCGCATTCTGGGACTGGAGACCTCTCAAACTTTGTCCTTTCAGGAAGAAAGGCCTTTGAAAACTTTACAGTTATCCTCACACTCGTCTTTTCTTTTTTTCTAACAGCTAGAAGATGGATAAATAGTGCTGAATGCCTATTGGCTGGTCCATGAAGGGTAGGATAATTTATTATGATATTAGTTTGGGTTCTGTCTTTGTTGTTGATGGAGAATCAAAAAGAATGAGAGCCTTTGCTGTCCTTTTCTCTGGGTGTCTCTCCCACAGGCCCCAAGAACCTCCTCTTGATGGGCTAAGGTTACTCTGGGGATGGTGCTGGGTATTCCAAAGGTGCAGGGGGCACAGAGGGCATTGTGGGCGGGAGGGGCAGAAGGAGCACAAGTCTGTGTGTCAAGCTCAGGTTTAGGCATTGAAGAGACATCAGTGCCCCAAACATAAACACTCCTGTGCTCACAGAGGACACACAGGGGACAGAGGGCCGTGATGGTCTGGGGAGGTGAGGTGAGGGCCTCCCCAGCTGATCTGCGAGAGTGTGCAGGTTTGGCTGTGTGGTCTTCCTAGAAAGGATGGACCACCACACCAATCCCTTGGAGCCCCAACCTCGACAAAGATTGACAGATACAGGAGTGGAGGGAAGATGGCAGAATCTCTGTACCTGAGGAGCCATGTAGGTTTGGGCTGTGAGTGGATTGACATTCTGGGGCAAACATGGGGTTCCCCCAAGTGTCCCTCTTCTTGTAAGACCCCAGAGCCTTTCCCTGATGCTGGATAGGGACAAGCCCCCAATTAACTGAGCCTGAATTCCTTGCCAGGCTGGTGGGATTGGGGTGGGGACTCGGAGTCAAAGTAAATTTGTACAGATAGGTGATGTTTTTGCTCTTCAGGATATTTTCCCCTGCTCCCCATATATTTTGTTAGCTCAGTCCAATATTTGGGTTGAAAAATAGAGTGGGCAGGAGTGACAGCTCTAGAATTAGACCTTAGCTTCAACACAGATTCATGCCCACAGATTTCTATCCCAGCTCTATCGTGTGGCCCTGGGCAAGCTACCTTTATTCTTTTACTCTGGATTCATCTGAAAAATGGTGATAATGGCTGTATTCACCTGAGGGATTTCTATGAGAATTAAATAAACCAGTGAGGAAATTGCTCGGCACTTGACAAATACCGGAGCAATGCAGGCTCTTATTTTTTTCTAACAGCTAGAAGATGGATAAATAGTGCTGAATGCCTATTGGCTGGTCCATGAAGGGTAGGATAATTTATTATGATATTAGTTTGGGTTCTGTCTTTGTTGTTGATGGAGAATCAACATGACTACGTCGGGAGCCCTAGTTCTTCAATGATGGCTATAGTCGAAAGGATGACTGGAAAGAGCAGCGCCCTAGTCAACTATAGAGTCCCCAGAATGTATGGGTTGATTTGGGATGATGGCAAATGAAGCCACTAGTTAGCGTTGTCTTTAGGAGTCCCTTGCTATCCATGACCTCTTCCCCAGTCCCTTCAATCAATTTTGTTACCTCGAGGTGGTGACCTACTTCTGTTTTCTGTCCTGCAGCTTTCCTCTTGATAGCATTCAACGTTTTTGGCGGGGGGGAACTACTCATTCTTTCCCTCCTCCAAGTGATAAATGTGGGCCTGGCCACACCCCAGCTTCAGAAGTGAAGCATGTGACCTAGCCTGGCCAATCAGAAGATCACATCCCTCTGATCTTAGTGATTGGTTGAGGGATGGACATGTGGCCCACAGCAGACCAATCAGAGCTGCTGAGACTCAATTCCAGGACTTCTGTGGGAACCACTGAAAAAAGAGAAGCTCTCTTTTGCCTAAGGTTGCTGTGAGGATGGGCTGGGAACCTCAAACAGCTGCCGCCATCTTACCAACTGAAGTTGCACATCTGCTTGTAGGTGGAACCCACACAGAGGAAATCAGAGCCATGAAATCGAGGAAATAAAATGGATAATATTACTAGGGTCTCTCAACCCAATTGTACCAAAAACCAGACATGCCTCTGGTTCTTCAGTTACATGAGCCAATGAATTCCCTTTGCCTCCTTATTCAGATTTAGTTCCATTTTGCATGTTATGTGACTAAACAGAATGAGCACTGCTTTCAGCAAGGGCCAGTAACAGTGAGTCCAAGCCCTAAA